TCGTATGGAGTGACTGATACCGCACTATGCTGGATACAGTCATACCTGAGTGAACGACGACAGTGTGTTGCCATCGGATCTGCCACCTCACATGACAAAGTACTAGATTTCGGGGTTCCTCAAGGGTCGGTGTTAGGACCACGAAAATATTGTATGTACGCCAAACCGATTAGAGAGATTTGTCGTCGCCATAGCCTTCGCTATCATTGCTATGCCGATGACACACACATTTACATGGTCATATAACCACGGGACAGTTGGAATACAGTCTCAGAAAGTCTGGAAGCTTGTCTGACAGATATAAGTATCTGGATGAACGCCAACATGCTTAAACTTAATCAGGAAAAGACGGAACTAATCGTCTTTCCCTCAAAGTGTCAGCAAAATATGGCTCTCCAGCTCAAGGTTGGTGCCAGAATTATTGAGACTGTTCCAGCTGTTAAAAACCTAGGGGTATACTTTGACAGTTCTCTGAACATGGAGAAACAAGTGAACGCTATTGCCAAATCCTGTTACTACCAGATCAGGAACATCGGCTGTATTCGGCAGTTTCTAACTGCAGATGCATGCAAGATTTTGGTGCATTCACTTGTTACCTCTCGGTTGGATTATGGTAACGCCCTGCTCTGTGGTATATCTGACAAACTAACTAGTCGTCTGCAGAGGGTCCAGAACACTGCAGCACGGCTAGTTACTCGTACTCGAAAGAGAGAGCACATCACACCTGCGCTTTATTCGTTGCACTGGTTACCTGTACGATACATGTCGCAGTACAAATTCTGGTATACACATACAAGGCACTGAATGGAACAGCTCCTCAGTACCTACAGGAGCTTGTTACCCTGTATCAGCCGTCAAGATCACTGCGGTCGGAGTCAGAATCTTTGTTGTGTGTCCCAAAATCTCGTACTATGACCTACGGAAACAGATGCTTTGGGAGTGTTTAGGCTACGTTGTGGGATAGCTTACCATCTGTTATTAGGAAATCAAATACCCTGGCCAAGTTCAAGAGGGACATAAAAACTCACCTTTTCACGTCTGCATTTTATAATCTTTTCAAAGACGTCATGTAAATACCACCCTTTTATTTTTTCAATTATGTGCACATTGCTTGTTAAATGTATGAAAGTGATTGCAAGCCTTTGTTGTTTGTTTTCACAATTATAACCGATTACTATTATCCATATGTTGTAAAGCGCCTTAGAGTAATTTTACAAATAATATAGGGTGCTATATAAATGTTGTATATTATTATTATCATAGCAATTACACTTATATTTCATTAAATTAAGATTGTATGTCCATTATCGTATCACTCGGTCTCCCGGTTTTCCCTTTTTGTTCCGCCATTACACTGGCACTGAGAACTATTGAGCGAGCGTTCGCGATGCTTGGTGATATTTAGGAATATGCATGAAAGACTCTCTGGACAGCAACACGTTGGTGTCATTTCACTCTCATACATAATGCGAATTTGTTATAATCAGCAAATATATTGTTTGTTCATTCAGCGTTCTACTTAATTTATGACACTGAAGTTCTGTTGTTTTTAAGGCATTTATAATTCACAATATGAAGTCAGCATGTGATTGTAAAATATTGCCCAGAATACCACTAAGCCAGTAAAACAATTGGCAGCTAGGAAAACTGTGTACTATGTTACATATACATATGTTACATGTTTAAAATTATTGTGTTAAAACCCATTGTTTAACGTTTTTCTTTTGTAATGATTTCATATGTGTAGAATACGATAGAACGTGATGTCTTAGTTTATGACATATGTAAGATCGTCACATCATCACAAAGAACCACCTTGCGTGCTCCCTTAATGACTTAATATGCTTTATATTTATTAACTTACAGATAATGGTAACATTGATAAACAAAGATTCAATACAGTTTCATAAAACAGTAGCATAACTTGTCAAACTAATAAATAGTACTTTGTGCTACTTGGTTATTCTTAACCATCCCTTTCACCTAAATTTGAAGGCATCATCAAAGAACATAGTGTTTATTATCAAATCTAAAGTTATTTTTGTAAGATGCTGCGGTTTATATCATGTCTAAATGTTGAAGCTTGTTGTTTCAATGACATTTAAATTCGACAAAATGAAGAGACGTATTTGTGGAAACCAACGCTCTCCCTCTCAATTTGAATTTCATAATCAGAGATAAAAAGTATCAGAAGGTGTTCTACAATGACGTATTTTTTTAAAATTGAGAAAACGAAAGTGAATTAAATATATTATTATAAGTTACCTATAATGGGGTAACTACTTTTTAGGGAAACACACCGTTTAATTCATTATCAAACCTTAATGGAAGCCACCAGACTACGCAGGCGAACAATTCTAAAGTATTTGAGTATTTAAAGTATCCATATCAGGACTGAACACTAGTTACACTATGTAATATTTTAATAGGGTTTTCTACAATACAGAGCTATTCACAAGTACTGAATAGAACTAAATGGTCGTCACAGCGTAAAATGAAACCAGGTTATTCTATGTGGTTAAGTAAATACAATGGTGCACCAACTAAATAAAATGGCTTTAACTAATAATATATATTTAAATCATGCAAATCAGCTACAAGCTGCATCTTTCGCCAAGTCAGTAATGTAACATTTCACTTACCGAAATATGATATAGTAATACATGAGTGTGCAATGATGTGATTGTCCGCCTATCTGATTGTCCTTCACCATTTATTTTTTACATACAAACCTGTACACGTTCGCTGTTAAACGGTACGGAAGTGCTACGCAAGTGCTACGAAAACGGTACGCTAGTGCTACGCTAATGGTACGGAAGTGCTACGCAAACGGTACGGAACCGGTACGCAAGTGCTACACAAACGGTACGGAAGTGTTACGCAAATGGTACGGAAGTGCTACGGATGACGCTCACAAATGGTGATTCGTTTGTGGCGACAAGAACGGGTTTACATAAAAATCGGAAACATATAAAATATCTAAAACGAAACGAATATACCCATAATGCATAGGAAGAAACGTCAGTAAACTGTAGGCTGCAAGGAGGCACATACGAATGTTTTAAATTTTGCCATTTCGTTTGGATGATGGATGAGTGTGAAACAAACAGAAATGTCTCGTGATTTATAAAGATAAAAGTCGATCAAATATTGGTACATGTAATATATCCATCACAAAGACCTGACGTACGCTAACAGATCAACGCGACACACTGATAATAATACGTTATGGTCAGAAGTATTTCCATCTGCTTACTGAAAGTAAACTGGTTTCGTTTCTTAAGGAGAAGCGTAATAATTAATAAGCCTAATAATAAAAAAACTGAAATAATTTCAGACTCCTGTGTTAAGGATCGAGTACCTATATTTCCATTTTATATTTCGTCTTTAATACTTCTATACACTTTAAGATTTTTCGTAGGATTTGGAGACCGATAACGTGCTTGATTATTAGTACATGCAAATACATGCATCCCAGATTTGAAATGTATACATGTTATACCATGTCTATTCATTAAATTTATTTCATTCACATGTAAAAAATATTTTTTTGTTATACATCTTTTATTTTATTATGAAAATGTAGTTGATTCTTGTTTTAGTCTACATTGTATATTGTTACGGAAGTCATTATATATGATTGAGTGCGCGAACTTTATACAGTATCTGTCAGCGGGTGGTCATGATTCCCTAACAACCTTTATAACGGCCAATAAAGTTGTTTATACCTTTAACAAGGGACAGGTCATTACCACGTGGCCAGCTGTATGCCTGTTATTTAAATAACCCCTTTGCTGCTGGTGTTGAGAACACACAGTAGACCCATGGGAGGAGGGCTGTTACGTCAATGTATGTGTAATCCGACATGTTTGTGGTGTTTTTCTTCTGACTATTATGATAGTTGGAATAATTTTCAGGTAATGCGGTTTATAATGATTTTTTTATCAACAGTTCGTTTCGACAAATATATATTCTGTAAAATTTTCGATCGAAAGTTTCACAAACGCTTTTTAAATGGAAATATCTAGACGCAAGTGCTACGGAAACGATACGGAAGTGCTACGGAAACGCTACGCAAGTATTACGGAAATGCGACGGTAATGGTACGGAATTACTACTGAAATGCTACGGAAACGGTACGCTGAAAGTGGAACAGCGAACGTGTACGGGTCTGTACTTAACAATATGATTACACTTAAGATGGGGTTTGTTTTCAAATTATTACCAAGAACATGTTAAGGATAGTACAGCTTACGATATGATGAACAAATAGATTTACATTTCTAAAATGCCAATGAGGATCTTGGACCAAACTGAGGATAAAAATCATTGGTTTTAATAATCTGTATATTCAAAATATATATCAATTGATGACCCTTAAGGTCTTTTGTTATGATAACAGTACAATTAAATTGTTGATCAGTTTTGTTCTGTTTCATGCTCTACTATACATTATTTACTATCTTAAGACAGGTCGATTTCAGTTTTAGATCCCTGCTATGTCGTCATATAGGAAATGATGCAGTTTTGAACTTGTTCCTTTTATCATTTGGTAATCATATTTTTACTTTAATATGTTGAAACTGAAGGCAGTTAGGTCATCATTAAATAATTTAAATGTAATTCAGTGTCTTTGATCTATTGATTCCCGGCAAGTTAGGTAAAGGAAGGTGTAAGTTGTGTTTCATATTTTGGCTCCAGAGATATTATCGAGGTAAGAGAAAATTTTGCATTATTTTTCATTATATATTTCCGAAGATTGAAATGTCATTATCTCAGAAGTATGTGATATTCCATACAATGTTATGGTGAGTTTGAAACAGTTAAAATTTAATCACATTGCCGAAGAAGGGACTTGCATAGGTTAAGATTGGTGCAAAATCCTATCTCAATAAGATACATATGTATATTCGAATTGGAACCCTTAGGAACAGAAATGATTTAAAGTAGATAAATAATGGATAAAGAATATATCGTCATTTTTTCCCGTTATATTCCAGGAAAACCAAATCAATAGTTTGCCTGTTGATAAGACATCAAGTTGTCCTCACGCACCAAATATGTTCATTTCACTAAACTAACAAAAACAAATTCTTCACATGCGGGCGATGGATAAGAACATTAATGTGACATGATATTCATCTCACATAGTGATTGTTTACCATGAACATGGAAAGGGAAGCCAGAGAAGATACAGACTGCTATCATCCCAAATTTGAATTTGATGCAGCTCCTAAAGAGGTGTCACTGAATGAAACAGCAGAATCTGATCGGGGCAGTTTACAAAGCATATCATCCGATAATACCGAAAGTCCTGGAAATGCCGAAAGCACGTCAATACAACCACCATTTGAAGAAATTGACAAAGATGAGGAAGCTGCTGCAACGAAGCAGTCCGCTACTGCACCGGGAAAACCAAGAACAAGTGAAATTGGATGCAATTTCTTAAAACTGGAATGGGAGAAGCCTTCGGATAGAGACATTTCGTACTATGAAATCAGGTTCAAAATTGTGACTGACACTGATTGGTGTACGCCTGTCTTCTCTGAATTCGACAAACCGTGTTACCAGCTAAGAGGTCTGGTGCCTGATACAGAATACGAATTCAAAGTAAAGGCACACTACGAAGGCAAAGAAGGTGACTTTAGCCAAAAGAGCGATCCATTCAAGACCAAGCAAGCAGTTGTTGAAATGACATCATCCACTTCAAAATATCTGACACGAAAACCAGGAAAGCCCATTTCATTAGATGCCAAGGAAGACCATATACAGCTCGGGTGGGATAAACCAGAAGAGAAAAATGTAAAATATTACGAAATCAAATACAAATCTTCAGAGGATGAAAACTGGTCAAAATCTGTGTTCACAGAAAATGCCAATACATTTTACCTGGTCAAACGTCTGCTTCCAGAAACTGAGTATAGATTTAAAGTAAAGTCACATCACCAAACATTTGAAGGGGAATTCAGCGACGTAGGCGATGCCATAGAGACAACGGCGGCGGCGGCGGAGAAAGTTAGTGTTTGCCTTACACCAACGTCTTCTAGTCGGCCGGGTAAACCAGCTGCATTGGATGTTGGTCTTGATTACGCGTGTATCGCGTGGGATAAGCCCGACAGATGTGATGTTGCATACTATGAAGTGAAGATGAAAACTACAGGTGATGAATTGTGGTTGAAAATGCCATCTTTCACAGAAAACAACAAGCCGTTTAAGAAAGTTTCAGATCTCGCATATGGAACGGAATACGAGTTTAAAGTTCGTGGTCATTTTCAAAGGGATGAAGATGAAGGTGATTTCAGTGAGAAGAGTGACCCGATCATCACCAATCAACCAAATGTGTTTAAGACCGACCTTCGCAGTGCTTCAAAGAAAGTCTCATTACGAAAACCGGGAAAGCCATGCTGTTTAAATTGTGGTTGTGACTTCATCGATTTAGGTTGGGAAAGACCTGCCGAAAAAAGCGTTACATATTATGAGCTTAAATCAAAAACTGCACACACGAAAGCATGGGTCAAGATGCCTGTAGTTACTGATGATGCTAAAACGTTTTGTCGAATGGGAGGACTTTCACCTTCAACACAATACGTGTTCAAGGTTCGAGCATATTTTCTCGAGGAAGAAGGGGAATTTAGTGATGAGAGTGATATTATCACAACTTCAAACATGCTGGAACACATAGAAGCAGAAGATTGTTCCATGTCAGTTGTGAAATTTCAAGAAAGAGTTCGCCCTACGAAGGAGGTCCCTTTAGGAAGACCGTTGACAGAGCTGACACGACATAGCAAACTCAAGCATGCTGATGATGATTACCTACTCCCTAGTCAATTTCCTATGACTTATCCTGGAAATATACAAATGGAACAGGAACACTTTGGGATTATTGAACCCCGTTCGCAAAACAGCACTCAACTCAGGCCCATTCGGGACGATGATTACCTGCTTCATAGTGTATATCATGGGGCGTTACATACCCCTGACGGATCGACAACAAGCTTGGCTGCACGTAGCATCAATCAGAATCGAGCTGGTGAGTTGCAGGTGTACTTGTCACTTTTCGTTTTAGTGTGTGTTAACATCCTTTCTCCCACGGCCACTATATGTTTCCTTACTCCCAAATCATTAGATAAACCTGTTCGAAGTTGTTAAACAGGTTTGTGGGTAACACTTTGAACTTTAATTGACTTGACTACTTTATAATTATGACGCCAAAGTAATAATGCTTTGCAACGTCATTTTCCATTGTAGAGTCATTGTTCATGGCAATTTTCCCCCTCGGAAACAAAAACGATCTATTCCCAGCAGAAACATATGATTTTCTAGATATAATATATTCTATATCCATTGTCAATAGATCTAACTAAAAGTATAGTATAATAACTAAAACCAGTATTTATTCCAGACAGAAAACTGCCCTTTCACTATGTTGATAAATTATTACATTAAAAGTAAAAGAAACAAATTAAGATCATATGTATATTGCCTGGCAACCGACAACAAAAGAATTGGAGAAGGGGGACAATATCACTGCCATCGATTTTTTTTTTAATTCATTTTTGTGATGATGCAGTTTTGCGATTTGTTGTTAGGACTTACTCTAAACTTTGTTTCTTTATCCACTTGCAGGCTCAAAACATGCACACGCAAGACAACCAAGTAAACCAACACGGTTGGATGTGGGCAGTGATTTTATTTTGCTGGGATGGGCCATTCAAGAATCTGAGGGTGTCCTGTACTATGAAATTAAGAACAGACTCACACGAGATGTGTTATGGGTTAGGGATTCGGTCACAACAAACGACAGTGTGCCCCAGATTTTAGTCCGCGGCCTTCTACAAGATACAGGATATACGTTCAAGGTCAGAGCACATTACAGGGACGGAGAGGGTGAATTCAGTGAACCAAGTGACTCTATATATACAAGGCAATCACTGGCTTTGTCCGTTCGGAACGTTTGCATTAAACTTCAGGATGGGGAACCAGCATTCTACAAGATGCCGTTGTCAGAAAATAAGGCTGCCAGAAATTCGGCATACAAAACGAGGAAGTGTGAATTTGGTAAGACACGTTGACATAATACAGACAATTGAAATCGATACCAGCTGCATCTGGATCAATGTTATATTATTGAAAACGTACTTTGCTGACATTACGAAAAACTTAATGATGTTTTTATATAGTTTTTTATTTAATCGCTTGTAGGATCATCAGATCTTGTCAGCGAGAAAACGATAATGATGATCGGAGCTACTGGGTCTGGCAAAAGCACACTTATTGACGGCATGGTGAACCACCTGATGGGGGTCAAGTGGGAGGACGACTTTAGGTTCAAAATAATCGATCTTATGACTGAAGAGGAAGCCAGAAAAGGACTTGAAGTGAGTAAAATCAGTTGTTATATTGATATTCGTTTCCGCTAAAAAAAAGTTAAGACACCATTATTTGTTTGTCTAATTAATATAATGATTATAATTCGTTCTTCTGGTTCTGCTGTCCTGTCAGAGATTACTTGGCAAAGCGTAATAAAATATCACAGTGTAATGATTAGCATGTGTAGATGTACCACAGACATATTTGCGAATGGATATCAAACATACCTTGCGACCTCTGATTGGCTGATTTATACCGAAATCTTACGTTTGACATTTGTTTTACTTTGGGTCTTGTTATGAAAGTTGATCAAGGAGCTTTCGTACGCAAAGCTCTTTTGCTGAGCAAAAAAAATCACAAGTCTTCAACACTTTATCCGCTATTGACGTGCCCCTGACTAGCTGAGGCAATTCTTAACTTGTCTGAACATTTTAGAAATTAGTTGAGTAGCAATATTGCGCGATGCCTTATTTTTTTACTGCAGGGTTTAATGGAGGAACATTAACAAAAGTTCATGTGACTGTATTTGGACAAGGTTACTGTTGTTTCTATAATCATTAAAAAGCCGGAACAAAATACAAACCTGAGTATTTTGGGCATTTTTGCTTTGTGACGTTTGTAAATCGAAAGCTCTTTAATATCTGTGTTTTGTCCTCTTGAAATTCCTCGTCTGGAAGTAAAAATGACGAAAGGCTAGAAAGTGCCATTCTAATTTGCTTACAAACAATTGTATCGTTAAGTGCCATTTATTTAAGTTTAACGGACACTTCGCGGTGATAGGCCTAAAAAAAGACTATGTGAAAAAGCGCAAATATAAACCAAAAATGTAGTGGCGTTGAAACAATTTGTTTTCAAACCCTCAAGCAGCGTGAAGCTTTTCCACTTCCGGTGTTTTCCCATGCGCAAAAGCCTTCTGAGAAATTGAGGCTGCATAGTTTCCATAAAAAACGAGTTGTGTCTTCGTATCAGACCCGAAAAATGATAACTTTAACGTTTTGTAAGTATCCTTATTTGTAAAAATGTTGGAAGGTTTAAATTATAATTTATGTGAATGATAAACGATTCCTCTTCCTTCAGAAGATAACGTCGTTATAATTATTTGTTTGACATTTTTGAAAGTAGGGTTAACTTAAAATAGACTGATGTTTCCTTTGTGACACATCTCCTAACATGCATCCCAACAAAAAGGTGTTTAACTTATATAGCACATACGATTTCCACAAATGAGATGCAATTCCTTTCACGTTGGTAATTCTAATTCATGACAATTCTTTTTAACATCCATTCTCATATATCCCAAAGGTCCATATGTGTCACCAAAGTTCAAATAAGTCATCAACATCTATTAGTATGATATATTTTCTGTTGCACATGTACAGTTGTAGAACAGTTTGATATGGAGGTCAACAAAAAAGCCGAAACATTAGATATTCATCATTATGGATAAATATGTTACACGTATAACATTTTAACAAAGGTCCATATTTAAGAAAACAAAGGTATCGGATGTTGTTACTAGGCTCACCCCCGCAAATGTAACAATATGGCGAATTAGCAATGAATTTGTTTAGACAAAATGTAACCTCCGCTAGAAGTAAACAGGTAACCGTGAACCAATGTTGTTATGGTTGTGTGTCATTTATGATAGAATACATTGTGAAAATCTTCATTCGCAGCATTATGACTAACTGATAGCTGATAGTTACTGATAATTTTCTTCTTTGCGTCAATGAACGATGCGGTTCATTGTCTATAAAATACAGCTTTGTAGCGTGGATCTCCAATTAGGATTTATTTTGGTTACGAAGTTGTTAAGTTTTGTACATACAAGTATATTTTTATCGTGATTTATTGTAAAGTATCCATAACTATTTGCATAAGTCTTCATAAAATTTCGGTGATGAATTTACGAGTGTCCGTTACAGCCATGCTGTTCATACTGTGTCCACCAAACTCTAAACAATAGGTCACATGTCACGATAAAACAATTAGATTACGCGGTCGTCGTTTGTTATAACCATTTAATCAGAAAACAGCAATATCTCTGTACATGATAACGGGGATAAGTAAGCAACTTTTCTTGTCTTCAGTTAACGACAATTGTACCGAGAGAGTCAAGGATGTACTCTTCTGAGGTTTGAATCACATTCAAGCCTCGGTTTGATCTCGTGTAAGGTATTTTTGTAATATTTAACAAATTTTTATCAATTTTAATAGCAAACATGCGTTTGAAAAATGTGTCAAAAAACTAGATGTCTGTTGTTTGTAGAAAATTTTCACACGAATTTTTAAAAATGACCAATTCGGCGGCAATTTTGAAAATGTGTATTTGTTGCGCTTCACGAAAGGACAAAATATCACATTTTTTGACACTAGATTGTCCCTTAAATCGTCATTGTGTCTCCATTTTAAATTGTAGCAAGTTAATTTTTGCTATACGAATTTTATAATGTTCAATATAATGAAATGATATGCAACAAAGTGGAAAATAAATATTTTTGGTAATTTTTTTAAACAGATTTAGTGTAACTGAAACACTTTTGATTGTTGACCCAAAAAAGGTGAACAAATACACAAATCATGATGGGACAAAAAACAAGCACACGAACCCCCTTTTTTATGGCTGTAATTAAAAGAGAAACCTATTTCCTTTTTGATCTGTCAAATATTTAAAAAAAAAAATGTTTAATAGCAGAATTTATTATTCCAAGATTTAAATCTGTAAACAATGGTGAAACTAAATTGTATTTTGTCATTGAAAAATAAAGGGTAGGGGCTACTTAAATTGCTGTTCTGAGTTAAAAGAATACGTTCAAGAAATTTTACTTCATAATTTAAAAGATATACTTTTTGGTCAATTCTGCAATTATTCATACTTATCTAATAATATACTTGAAAGATATTGTTTGAATTTGACCTGCAAATGTTAAAAACCGCAAAACTCACTTAAAATCACATATTATGTCAAATTGGTATCTATGATCGATCATAGCACAAAAAACAAGCATACGGACATATAATTCTTTATGCATTTATGCTATGCCATTAACTCCCTTTTCCAAAATTGCATTTAAGAAAAAAAAAGTTTAATACAGAAATTTCTTGACTTCTCAAAGGTGTGCATTCTTTAATAAAATTAGTCACTTTATTGCACTCTTGTTGCAACAAAAAAATAAGGCTAATACTTATATTGCCGACTATGTTATATTTTATGGTACAATGTAGTACTGCTACCTAATTTACATGAGTTGATGTATATTATATCTGAACACATCCTTTATCGTAATTAATGAGATATGCAAGGAACATTATAGGATCAATCATGATATGATGATAAGAATACGGATTACTACTCGTGATATAAAACGCATCAGAAAAAAGTGAGCTTTTGTCGTGGCGCGTCGTCCGTCGCCTGTCCCTTCGTGATTATTTACTTTACAGTACTTCTCCAGTCCTACGATTAATAATTGGATCACATTAGGTACAGATGACCGGGAACAAGTGTCGTTACTTTCGAAACGTTTTAGAATCAAATATTGTCGCCATGACCTCTGACTGGCTGGCATATTTTCGACTTATTATCCAGTTTTTTTATGGGATTGGGGTCAGATTTGATACACATGTTTGTCTCATAGCCCTGAACAAGTGCTGTTATTTTTGGTCTGAATTATTCAAGGTCACATGTGGTCAAATATGTCAAAACCTTCTTCTGAAATAGAACCAATATGCCTAGTTTCATGTAATTTTGGTTAGTACTTTTCTTACATGGAGCATGACGAACAAAGTGAACACAGATGATTTTGACCTACTTTCATGGCTACAGGGGTCAAATATATTGAAGACTTCTGCTTATCCAAGAAGCCAAGGATGACAATTAGGGCCAATAACATGCTTGGATGAACAGCTAGCAAGATGGTTAAAATAAATCACATTGACCAAATGTCAATGTCACAGAGTCAAATGTGATGCAATTTTTTCACATGTAATTTGCAAACAGGTCCATTGACCTATTTTTATATTTCCTTGTTAAAAATGGCTGATGTCGCCTTATTGATTGGAAAATACAATAATGAGTCAACAAGAAACATATGGCTGGGAAATTGAAATATTTTATTCTACATTTCACAGGCTATTACATTTTCCTATTTTGATCTGAACCCGGGAACATATTTTCTTTGTGGTTTCCTATTGCACCGACTTGTATTTGGATATTCGTAACAACTTTGATACAGATGTACATTCGGACCTCAAACATTTGTGTGCGGTAATCCTTACTAAAAGCTCTTCAAATTTGACTAATTATTGCTCATGGCATCTATATAATGAGTTGTTATTTCTCACATTTGTTCAACAATAGTTAATTTAGCCGGGTGAGCGATTCAGGCCCACTCGGCCTTTTGTACAGAGCTCAGTTTATTAAACAGCGTGAAAAAGTATATTTAAAGCCCGTATTTATTCTTGTGTTGTTGACAAAAAACATAAATGCTGTGATTTTATTCTCATTACAAGACGGAGTCACAAACTGACTGGATCACCAGTTACAGAGTTCATCCCATGATCGAAACTGTTAAGTTTATCTGTAACATCATTGACACGCCAGGATTTGGAGATACCAGAGGAATAGAGAGAGACCAGCAGCTTGTGGATCAAATCCGTGCATTCTTCTCTACGAAAGGCGTCCAAGGAATTGAAACAATAGATGCAATATGTTTCGTCACACAGGCCCCTTTAGCCAGGCTGACACACACTCAACGATATATCTACGAATCAATTCTGTCCATATTCGGAAAAGATATGCAAGACAACATCGTTGCTTTGGTAACATTTGCAGATGGGAAGGAGCCACCGGTGCTTAATGCTCTGGTGCAAGCTGAAATTCCAATCAAGATGCACTTTGTATTCAATAATTCAGCCCTTTTCGAACCAAACACAGACCACAAATGCAACAGATTCGGCAAGATGTTTTGGGATATGGGTTCTCTTAGCTATGGTGGATTTTTCAAATTTCTGCCACTGATGACGACACAGAGTTTACAACTAACAGCTGAGGTGTTGCAGAAACGAGAGCAACTCAAAGTCACAATAGAGGGACTGTTACCACAAATTGATATTGGGCTTGGAGACCTTGAGACAATGAGACAGGAGAGGGATCTTGTGAACAAATACTCAAGAGAAATCGCTGATAACCAAAACTTCACATACGTAGTAGATGAATTTCATCAGGAAAAAACACCCTTAAATCCAGGCGAATATGTCACTAACTGTACATTTTGCCATTATACATGTCATTACCCCTGTCATATCGCTGATGACAGTCAGAAGTCAGTGTGTGCAGCGATGACAAATGGGATTTGCACGATTTGTCCGAAAAAGTGCGGATGGAATTCCCATCGAAACAACGATTTTCGCATAAAAGTTACACAGGTGAAAGTAAAGAAAACTTACGAAGAAATGAGAAAGAAGCTAGAGATAGCAGCGAAGGGTAAAGTATCTAAGGAACATGTCCTTCAACGCATCGGGAAAAAAGTAGCTGGTGTGAAAGAAACTGTTTGTAACATGATTGAAAAAGTTCGTAACTGTGGTAATTATTTACGGAAAAACGCTCTCAAGGCAAACCCACTTACGGAGGTGGAATACCTCGATGTCATGATGAAATCGGAACAACAACAGAAGAAACCCGGTTTTGAATCTCGCGTTGAGATGTTGAAAATGTTCAAGCGCAGTGCAAGCATCAAGGCAAAAACAATACACATGAAAACAGATGATGTATTGAAGGACATGGGATTCCATGACATGAACCTGTAACTGTATACCGCGAATAGGAAGACGATACGATAAAGGAATTCGATATTTTTTAAAACACATTTCATGCTAAAAGAAGACTTTCAGTGACTTACAGAAGAATAACAATTTAATTTAAACGGTTGAATTATGAAAACACAACACTTGATACAATTATTACAGGTGACTCAAATAAACATGTTAAAAGTATCGTCTGTTTAAAGTTCTGGTGAAATACATAAGTGTTAGTATGATCAACTTATTTACACGAATGACTTTCTATAGGTGTATGTAAAAAGAAATGGTATTCAGATTTTTGTCTAGATAGTCCAATGATTATTTAATCGTTTACTTTGTCATTCCGTATTTAATCAAAAATGCATTTGGCTTCTAATTAGGAACCTATTAATGTATGGAAAATGAAGAACTGAAATAATTAACAAACATGAATGCATACATTCTAAAATAGATACTATTTAATCGGATGATAAACGTTGGATGAACAAAGAGAGAAGCTTAATCGTAATTCAAATGTAATAAAGATATATAAACTTGTTCGATCAGGAAAACCATAGTGTTGAGTTGCACGAATTCAAAGATGACAGCTACAGTCTATGAAGCAACAAGGAGCACGGTAGTTGTTGGATATATTATCAATGATTATGGCTTATTGACAAATATATATTCTTTTGAGTTAGTATCTGGCACTATTATATCTTAAGTTTAAAAGTATGCGTATGCATTTCTGTTTTGGAAAGAATTTGTATAGATATCGACTTTTTATTTTTCAATGAAATTTACTGTTTTATAATGAAAAGAAACACTTGATAGATCTAACCAATTTGAAAAAGGCGTAATAAGATATTTGATTTATTTAACTATCAGAAAATGTGATACTGGTACTGGAGTGCACTTTAAGCACGGGAATACTATCCGACATAATTCATCAGGCACAACAATTGGTAATGAGCTTCTACATACAATTTATAACTTTGTATTTTACATATTTATAGGTATATGTATTGCAACATTCAACACCATTTGTTCCCATTCGTTATGTGTAAGGTCAATTATGCCTTTTTCACCTAACAGAAAGTTCGCTTGTTGTTTTTGTTTTTTTTGGTTGTTTTTTTTTCCAAGCATTTTCAAATATATGGTACACGGGTTCGAAACCTACGCGGGGCAGTTTCCAAGTACTAGCCGTTGGTCGGGGTTTTTTCCGGGAACTTCGGCTTTCCTCCACTATTTAAACCTTGCATATCCTTATATGACCATCGCTGTTAATAGGACGTAAAACACAAACTAACCAACCAAACAATAACCAAAAAAGAAAACAGGTGTTTAGCTTTATGTAAATATAAATAAATCGTTTGAGGGGTTCATGAGATATTTTCTATACAAACCTTTTACTTCAAAAGCGGTCAAGTGTGATCAGTGTCTTTCATCTTTGACGCTATATCTTTGACCGATGACCATAACACGCTGATCAGGTATAGAACTTGATATTGCCATGGTGTACATATGAATATAATGTCTGTAGCGGTTCATGAGATATCTGGTACATAATATTATTTACTACTTAAGATGGGTGGACGGACAGGCCTTATGTTTAGTAAATTAGCTATTATAAAATGATGCTTTTATTATTGCATATCCTATACTTGATTTATTAACATAACAATCAGTGCTGTTTCCTACATAAAAACGTTTATAATTTAGAGTACATAGAACATGTATATTTGTGTAAATACAATACTATCATTTACAACAATTGAATCGTTTCACTTTAAATGACAATTGTTCTTAAAATTATTTTGATTTTTCTCTCTATGATTTGCATACAAACTATTTTTTATAAGATTTATTGTTTCATGTAAAACCCAAAGGATCATACCTATACAAATTTTGATTGTTTTACCATTATCACTCTAGCTTACCTAATTACCAACTCATTTGATAATTTGCTACGAGTTGGTAAACATTTGTGGTAACCTACAATTGCTTAACACCGGTGTAGCGGTTCATGATATATCTGGTACACAATATTATTTACTACTCGAGATGGTTGGACGGACAGGCCTTATGTTTAGTAAATTAGCTATTATAAAATGATGCTTTTATTAAGTGTGCATATCCTATCCTTGATTTATCAACATAACAATCAGTGCTGTTTCCTACATAAAAACGTTTATAATTTAGAGTACATAGAACATGTATATTTGTGTAAATACAATACTATCATTTACAACAATTGAATCGTTTCACTTTAAATGACAATTGTTCTTAATATAATTTTGATTTTTCTCTCTATGATTTTCATACAAAAAAATCATTTTTATAAGATTTATTGTTTCATGTTAAACCCAAAGAATCATACCTATACAAATTTTGGTTGTTTTTACCATCATTACTCTAGCTTATCTAATTACCAACTCATTTGATACATTTGCTACGAGTTGGTAAATTTGTGGTAACCTACACTTGCTTAACACCGGTGATGTAACTTTATTGGGCAATCCTTCAACTATGATAATGCTTTGGGCTGACATCTTCCATTGTAGCGTAATAATTAATGGCAATTGTTTACCGATAAAAAACAGGACTCATGTTTTTCCAAGTGAAACGTATGATTTTCTAGACATGAAATGTATGTTATGGGAGGAAAACGTTCCGAAAAAACTTGATGACTGGCCATCATGTTTATCTAATTATCGTCAGTTATTTTGCAAAACGTAAAAGATACTCAGTGAACCTCTTGTTTTAAACAAGTTTGAACATTAACCTACTCGATTAACATGAATATATTAACCAACCAGCACCAATACGTGAACCCCTAAGTCTATTTTGAATTAATTTAGGCAGCTATGTTTTGCAACCTCTCTTATTTAAATGGGAACACCGTTCGTTTAAGTGGAGAATTCCTTAATTGATGTTATTCCTAATGAGTGTGTATACATTCAATGTTGTTTTTGTGACGAATTGGTAAAATAGTTTTACAATTCGCAACTCTTTTAATATATAGCTGATATAGAGTTTATGATAACTTCTGTAATATTTTAACATTGATGTGTTGCACATTTCATAATTCTAACTTTCTTTATTCGAACAATTATTTCAAGGGGGATCCAATAAAATAAAATAAATTTCTTTTCAAAATTCGAAAAATGACCAAAATGTGTCACAGCTGATCAAAGGGAGCAACTAAACAAAGAGTTTACCAAACTTGCATATTTTTAGCAGACTTCTTTTCTTTGCATTCATATATTATGTACTTTTGTTCCATATATGTTACATGATATACCACTAGATACGTATAATTGTGTATTGATGTTTTGTATCTTATCTTCAAATAACACGATAATCATAGGACATTTATAATTTATTTATAATAGGCTGTCATTCAAGAAGTATGTGGCAGACGTCATCGTCCGTCTGCCAAAGCATCCCTGGAAAGACTAGATAGCAAGAATGGGTTTTATGAATTTCGACAAACTTTAGACAAAAAATTCCATTGGCCAATGACACTTAACTTTGTTATGACGTGTATTACCAGTATATACACAGCGTAACTGGTCGTATGGGGACAATATGCATTAATATTCTCAGATTATTTTGTCTTTATGGGTAGGGTAATTTGACTTCACATGGTGAAACGAATTGCGTGGTCAAATGTTATGGATTTTGTAAAAAGAGATGTATTTACCTACTTAAAGTAATAATTTAAAAATTGAAAAACTACCTTTATGACCTTTATAACTGATGATCGGCGACTTGTGGACTATTAGGGGAGATACAGGGTATAATTGAAATACTCGTTCGGTACAGATGAAGGACCTTTAACCTAGCACTGGCACTCTTAGTCAAGGGGACTCCTCAGTACCTAATTTCATACATTAAGCGCCGTAAAGTAATGTTGCTGTGAGTATTCTGTCATTATAGAAACCTTCATTGTTGTTGTACAAATGTAAATGAAATAAATTTTACAAGACGATGATCTTGAATCCCAATTTAAGCAATTGAGCCCACAAGGAATCTTATAGTTTAACTGCTAGCTTTTTATATAATCCAATTAACATAATAATCAAATAATTAATTCGACCTTCTTTTTATAAGAAATCATTATCGATACATTATACAGTATGAAGGGGTATGATGTTATCTGTGAGTCAGACCAAACTAACCTGTCATGTTGATCTTTAAAGAAAAAATATCAAATCGGGCGGTTGAATGTTTATTCACTGAAGGACGTTACGACAGTTTAATTTATAACTTTGATTACCAACTGTGGTGACCTCTCAATTCGTACCAGGTGCTTGAAATGAGATTGGTTTGGTTTGGTTTGGTCTAATTTTGTTTCACGTCCTATTAACAGCTAAGGTCATTTAAGGAGGTGCCTTCATGTGTGTAGTGTATGCGTGCTTGCGTGTGTGTATGCAGGAGGCATGCTATGTTGGTGTGCTTAAAATTGTTCTCCCTCACGACAAACCCTAGAAATCACAATCTATATGAACTATGTTGTCCCTTTAATTTTGTAAACTTAAGGAAGTATAGTATAGTTTTTATCATCTATATGCTACTTTATATCGTCTACTAGACCCATTATCACAGGTTGTCGTTATTGGAATACTTGAGACTTCAGAACTGATTTTTCAATTTGGGGATTTTCTTTATCTCAGTAAAGAATTTATGTATGTGTCATGCACCTGTGAGTTTTTCTCAATATAACACTTAATCATGGTGTTTTTTGTGTGTTTTTCACTTATACTTTTGATCAGCCTAATTTTCGAATTCTTTGAAATCCGCACATCAGGTATCAAATTTAGGACTTGCATGTAATAAGAGTTAAGATAATTGTTCTTAGTTCAGTCACAAATTTGTTATCAGTAAATAGGCGATGACAAAAGCGAATAATGATAAGAACTTGTATTCGAAAACACATTCAAACAAACTTTTAAACATATTTTTAAATTCAAGTTGTGCAAAATAGAAACAAAAACAAGAACCGCATGAATCACAGTGTTATAAGATAAGTATTCATTCGCGCCTTGTTAAATTATTGTTATCAGCTTTGATTTAGTCCAAAATGTTTATATGTGTAGTAACAGTTGTATTGCTATCTTATTGACTTTTTCATGCTACATAATGTACATATGTCTTATATTTTCCGTTACGATCTGCATTGTTGTTTTCTTTGTAGGATTTATTGTTCCGCGTTTGATTTTGTAACTCACAATGACCTGACAATATATAAGATTTTTCTCAAACTAATTGATTTGAGAAACAAGTTTCTCCCACGACCCTTTTTTAGTTTTTTAGTTTTCCTCATTCCAAGCTTATTTGATAAACTTGCTTTGAGTTGGTTAAACCCTGGACGTTGTTCACTTGGTAAATGTTTTAATTTTCAGCCCACCATCATCTGATGGCGGGCTATGCAAATCGCCCTGCATCCGTGGTCCGTCGTCAGTCGTTCGTTCTTAAACAATTCCTGTTAACCCTATTTGTCAGGAATTACCAAAGGAATCTTTCTCAAATTTGACATATAGATTTCCCTTGGTCTGTCCTTGTTTATATTTCCTTTTAAGACTTATCAGATATACAAAATTGCCGACAGGCAGCCATCTTGGAATTTGACAATGACGGTTTGTTAAAGCTTTTTCTCAATAAGTACTGGTTTGCTAGTACTATTTCTCGAGAATAACTTCTTGGTCCCTAGTTGCATGTTTTATTTTGAAACTGATCATAAAAACAAAAAAGCTGAAGAACGAACAGATCTTTCTCATATTGCAATGATTGGTTATATTTCTTTCAAATTAAGTACTGTTTTAGGAAATATATAAAATGACAAACTCACTTTGAAGGTTGTCTTTTATACACAGCAGTATTAAATTTAGATCAAAAGCTACCTCAATGTTCATTTACTGTTAGCATAACTCGATCAAACAGATAAGAGGAAAGAAAAGAAAAGATCAAACAGACAAAGAACTAATGAAGATTGTACAATGGTGGGCACCAAGATCCCTCTGGGATCTCTTGTTACGTTACCTTTCCCCGGCATCGTCCATCGTAGTGTCATAATTCATGGTAATTGTTTCTCAAAATCATAAATAGGAATGATGTAATCCCAAGAGAAACAAATGGTTTTCCACATGTATATATTATATCTGAACGTTGTTGGAGAAAATGGTCTCAGGACTCGGGAACGTTAATTATCATGTTTATCTAACTCTCATTAGTTAATTGTCTTATTTTAAAGGTCATAAGGTAAAACTCATAAACTCATGTCTTTATACTTTTTTAAAATTAACTTAATCGAGAAAGATAATCATGATGACCAAACAACACTCGTTTGGGAAACATTTATGTCTATTTTGAATATATTTACTATATACTTAGACTGGTATGCTGTGTAGCTTCCTTTGTTTGTTGTAAGTGATGAACTTGATATCAAACTGGAGTTACTTTAAATTGCTATCTTTCTAAATGAATGTGTATTCTTAATATGTTTGTGACGCATTGACAAATCAATTACATATTTGACTTCATTTGATAAAATACAACATTCGAACTGAAGTGTGTTAACAAAGAGGTATTTGTTGGCAGAATTTACACCTTTAATTCATACGAGTTTACATGTGACCAGACTGTATTAAATGGAAGAATATTCTGTACATTTTACCAATCAATCTTATTTTAATAGTGTTATTGTAATTTCCATATTGTCTATTTCACTTAGTTTGTAGGACTTTTTTCTCTCTTTATAGTACTGTTGCATGTTGTATTTAAAGTGATATCCAATAATACTATTCTTGACTTAATTAGTATAATACTGTGAGTAGTTTTTAGTCATTTTTAGAAAAATTAGTGGTGGAAATAGTGGATGATGCTGATTACATGTAGTCCATTATATATCAGTATTGGTTTAAGCAAATTCTAAACAAATAGTATAAAAACAAAAAAGTGTTGACATACAAAAACGCAGAAATAATTGTCTTATAAGAGATGCAATCATCCGTGCATTATAGCCTTGATACGTCAGCTTATCCTGGTTGTTTTTGTAATAGCTTAGATTTTGTCAAACATACTTATATTAATTAATTGACTAATTGACAGTATTTCATGTCACATAATGTACATATGTGTTATACTTCTGTTACGATTGGAATTCTATTTTGTAGTATGTATTGTTCCACGTTTGATTTTATATCTCACAATGACCTGACAATAGATAAGATTTACTATGAATTCGATTGATTTGAGAAACTAGTTTCTCCACAACCATTTGTTTTAGGGTTCCTCATTCCGAGCTCATTTGATAAATCTGCTTGGAGTTGAGAAACGTTTTTGGTTACCGACTATTTGGTTAAACCTAGGACGTGGTTCCATTGGTAAAAGTTTTAATTTTTAAGTTACATAACTATGCTATCGTCCATTTTAATTGTTACCCGCATCAGAAACAGTAATAACGTATTCTATTCCCAAGAGAACCATATGCTTTTCGAGATGTTCTATATGGACGATGTGAGAGAAAAGTCTCCCGAACTCTTGATGGTTAATACTCATGTTTATCTAACTCTCAGTTTATATTTCAATTGTGAAGGGCACTAGGTACACCTCATGTCTTTATACTATTCGAAAATTAACTTACTGGTGTTAGGTAATCAGGATGACCAACGAGCTTTTATTGGGGGAACCTCTGTGTCTTTTTAGAATATATCTACTATATAATTAGGCTGGTATGCTGTGTAGCTTACTTTGCTTGTTGTAAGTGATAAACTGGATGTCAAACAGGAGTTACTTTGAATTGCTATCTTTCTAAATGAATGTGTATTCTTAATGATTTTTGACGCATTGACTAACACAATGTTAAATGTAAAAACATTGTTATTTTTTTAATGCTTTTAATTGACAGAATAACTTTTCTTTTTAAGTTACTTTCTGTAATGTTTTAAAATTGATGTGTCGAATACGTCGCACATAAATACCTTTGTAATCAACGTATCTAGCTGGACAAAATGTGCAACAGCTAACCATGAAGGGACTACTTATCCTGGAGTTAGAGTGCATTGAACTTGCTTATTTTGAACAAAGACATGTTTGATATATTGAATATATCCTTTAACTTCTTTCTATATAATAGATGCACTGCATCGTATATATAACCAGAAAATTCAATTTATACTTTTATTTTGTATCTTGATTCATAATCTACAGAATAACCATTGATCATGTACATATATGTTTATCATTTTTGGCCAAACGGTTAAGTGTGTAAAGCCGTGGTACTTTGTCCGTAGTTCAACTTCCGTCTGTCAACTCTTTTTTTGGACAATTTCTTTGTCTGCAATTTCCATCAACCAATGAAATATAGTTTATTTACTTAAAGGACTAATCTTATAAATGCACAAAACGACATCTTTAACAACGAGAATCAATGTTTTATGAAGAAGGGTTTGGTCCATTAGGGGAGAAACAGGTTAATACTGAGCGAAAAACTCGTTCGGTACAGATGAAGGAACTTCAACCTTATTGGCACTACACGTATGAGTCGAGGAGACTCAAATCACTCTCCGCAGTACCTAATAACATACATTATGTGTCATAATTTACTGTGGCTTTAAGCTATTTTTATCATAGAAACCTTTCGTTTTTTGTTGTTAAAATGTAATTGTTCTCATCAAATTTCTTCTGCGACAAAGATTTGAATACTATAAAATATAGATGTTTTACATAATTTGATTATTTACGAATATTTTTTGTTGTAATGTTCGAAACAAATTAAGAAAGCTTTAAATTATTTTACAAATGGAAATTATCTAAACAGTTGCCTGTTCTCAAAAGCTTGTACCAAGATCATTTTTTTGATATTTACATGCATGCGTCGCATTCGATCGCAGGTACAATCCATGTGTGCAATTTAGGCCCAAGGAGATTTTATGTATTAACTGTTAGCTTCTTATATAATCAAATATACATATTAATCAAATAACTAAATCGACCAAATAAGCCATTTTGATCTCAACAGAAAAAAATCAAAACGGGCGATAAAATGTTTTATTCGCCCAAGGACGTAACGACGGTTTCATCTCAATGTTTACCAGGTACTTGTAATGAGAAAACTGTTCTCTCTCACGACAAACCCTAGAAACACGATCTATATGAACTATCTAATAATATCGATATTCAATGGGTCGATTATCCTTGTGGAGGAAAAACAAGTTACACCTCAAACGATATTAAATCAATATATTTTGTGCAGATATTGAAACAATGTGCATTCAAATCGATGCATGTCCAATTCATTGTTTTGTTTTTCATTTTGCCGTCACGGGACGTCACAATTGTTGGGGTGATCACTTTCTAGATTGACAATGTACCTTTGATCTCCTTATTTTTATTCCAACTATCTTTTCGAACATTTAAACAAGGGATGTATTTTTGCTGTTGTTTTAATCGGCAAAAAAAAGTCAGATATTTGAAAAATTCTCCTTGATTGACAAATTGATTGATTAAAAAATCTTTAACTTCCAACAAATGTTGCGGCTTGCTTGTGCGAAATATCATAGAAATATTGTTTGATCGAATAAAATATCGTCCTTTATTAATTGTACCTAGAATGGATACTTCCTTATCACAAATGGTCGATTTTTCAACTAGTTTTATGAGCTTAAGTTTTTGTACTAATATGACCCAGAAGAATGCACTTCAGAACGATACCACTATATTGAGCACTGTGTACAATAATATATATATACTGAAGCATGATTGCATTTTAAAGTTTGTAGACTTTAAGGTGAATGGTATATTTTTATCATCTATACTTCTATATACCAGCAACATTATAGGCCTTTTATCACGGGTTATCGGCATGAAAATACTTAAGACTTGATATCGGGTTTTCCGATTTGGTTTTTTTTTTCTTGGTTAATAA